TATATATATACTAGCAGCATTGCCCGTAGAACTCATACAACAATCGCTATCACTTGACTTAAAATATTTTTGCCCTTCCTTGCCTTTAAAGGAGTGCCCTTTGTCATGCTGATGTTGCTACATGCCTTACTTCTTGCCTATCTCAGATTGTGAATTTTTTCTAAGCTCTATACTAAACATTAAATCTGTTACGAAAAAAGAACTAAACAAAATGAACACAAAAGAATCAGCTTTAAAAAAGGACTTGTAACTGGAAAACCCGAATGAAAAAAGAATGTTAACAACAAATACTTTTTCACACCCAACTCAGTTCTGCGGAATCAGAATCAACGTTGAGTTTAAGCAAGCAAATGAGCCAATTGGAGTAAAGTGCCATGCAGATTTAAATTTTTCCCATTTGTGACGAATGCAGCTATCAATTTTTTTGCATGCTAGCATGCTAGTTAACATTCGTGTCAGCCAGCTGTTGGCTCTCACTCTGGCCAGTAGAAAATAGCTGCAAACTACATGAACACTGCTGTAGAAGCAAGAAAAAAATCGATAATTTCCACTATTGATGGGAGTTGGGAAATGCAAAGTCAGTCTTGACCTTCCTGGTATCTTGGATCATGTGCATGTAAATTTTGGTGCAAATCCATCGAAAATTGCAGCCATGCATTTATTACACACACACATCCTGCCTTATATATATATATATATATATATATATATATATATATATATATATACTCCCACACACGCTTAAATTCATATGTATATATTTACAGGCTGTTTTTTGGGGGGTGGGTTTAGACTCATCACAAAAAACCTGTCTGTTCTTTTATCTTCGTTGCCCTCCCTGTATCAATCTTTGCATCTCTTTAAAATACCCCACCCCCTCATATCATTAAATAAAAAGGTTAATCTGTCTTTTGTGACTAATCAACTCTGAGAACTTACTGAATTCACTGTGTTTGTATGTGAGAAACTGAAGAGTCGTACGAATCTGATATATAAAGCATATTTCAGCCTGTCTGCCTGCTTATTTGACCTTTCACACACAATACAAACTGAGCTGAAGCATTTAGATTTTTTTTCTGATAAAAATAGTTGCAATAAAAATTTCAAACATTTTATAAAAAAAAAAAAACAAACTAGTTCCCTATCCTGATACCTATTTCCACTATTTCTTACAAAGGAGACAGTTGATTTAAAATTATTACTCACTAGCAGTAGAGCCCGGCGTTGCCCGGGGATGTAACAGTAAGAGTTAGATCAAGTATCAACCATCATAAAGACTGAAAAATTAAATTGGCTAAGATTATTGTTTCAGGTTGACGGACACACATGTCTTAATTATTTTTTTTTGTTTTGTTTTGTTTTTGTTTTTCAAAAGTCAAACCCAAACTCAAACAAAAACATTGTTTTCAATCGTTATGAGTCTACCGCTTGAATAGAATTTTATTATAAACAATTGTCTTGTAAATAGAATTTTTAAAGCATTCTGAATGTAAAAATAAAGAGAAAAAGTGTGCAAGACAATAAGAAACACTACCTGCCAAAAAAAAGATTGAAGTTTAGTTGAAATTGGTTGAAAAATGTTGGAAATCCGATCCCATATATAAACGAACACACAGACACACACAAACAACCTGGGTTTTATAATAAGTATAACTCGATATGAGTTGTCCCCCTTTCATTCTCGCGATGCCTCTTAATCGTGTTTGCAAATTGATTTCGTGCAAAAACAATTGTGTTTTTCCAATTTTTGGCACTGTCAGAACCACCACAATGTAATTTTACGTAGTCCTGTGAAGTTTTGTTGAAATCGGTTGAAAAATGTAGGAAATTCGATCCAATATATAAACGAACAGACACACACACACACACACACACACACACACACACACACACAACCTGGGTTTTATAATAAGTATGATAAAGAATATTAGCAAATGACAGTACTCTATTTTGTTTGCTTTGTTGTCCAAATTCTCTGCAACAATTAGGTAAAGGATGAAAAGAATATCTGTTAATTTTCAGCCATGAAAAGTATTCTTCATTTACCAACACAAAAAGTAATTTAGTATTACAATAATATTCTATTGAAACTGAATAAACATTTGAATGGATATAGAGAACAGTTTAACAGAAACTTTACATTTAAGCATAAAATATCTTAAAGATGAATTATAAAAAATTTCCATTAGTGATCAAAGTTTCAAACAGAGTGAACATCACATTACTTAATATTAAATTATCTTAAAAAATGTGCTTTGCATGAAATTTTATACTTTGTTTTTCTAATTGCTGGCTCCATTATGCTTAAAAACAGAAGTTAACCTGCACAAAAACATATCTTAAACTAGACATATCTAAGCCAAAATCAAGAATTGACCTCTACACAAATTATATTTTACTAGGTATTTCATTGCTAAAAATCAAGAATTAACCAATACACAAAACAATAAACCGTTCATTTAGCTAAAAATCGAGAAATGACTTATACAAAAAACATATCTTAAGCTGGGCATTTCTTAGCTAAAAAGTCAAGAATTAGTAACTTGTTTTACAGAATAAAATTGTTAAGCATCTTCACCAATTTAAATAAAAAACTGATAAATTTCAGTACCATAAATACTCACATATCATGTGACCTTGAAGACCTAATTTTGAAGCTAATTTGAATATAGTAAATGGATATATCATTTGGTCAACAGCGTAGCCAGGACCAACAATATATATGCTAATTTTATATCTTGTGTATGATGCGACCACCTTAAAATTAGCTTCAAAAGTTGTATAATATGTGAATATGTAGGGTAATTAAAGTTTCTAACGGACATAAAGTGGGGGACCGGTTTTCTATTGTTATGAAGTAATAAAATGATCCCTCAAGAATTACTACATAATAATTGGAAACTATTAGTTTCTATTGGACATAAAGTGGGGGACATGTTTTCTATTGTTATGAAGTAATAAAATGATCCCCCAAGAATTACTACATAATAATTGGAAACTATTAGTTTCTATTGGACATAAAGTGGGGGACATGTTTTCTATTGTTATGAAGTAATAAAATGATCCCAAGAATTACTACATAATAATTGGAAACTATTAGTTTCTATTGGACATAAAGTGGGGGACATGTTTTCTATTGTTATGAAGTAATAAAATGATCCCCCAAGAATTACTACATAATAATTGGAAACTATTAGTTTCTATTGGACATAAAGTGTGGGACAGGTTTTCTATTGTTACTAAGTAATAATCTGATCCTCCAAGATTTATTACATATTATTATAATTGGAAACATACTGTATGTATTCGTGTAAGATGCAATGTTAATTTTAAATACAGCTGTACTTTTTGACTACAATAAATGGATATATAGTTTGGTCAATGGTGTAGCAAGGGCCAGCAGTTTTATATCTCATGTATGATGTGACCACCTTAAAATTAGCTTCAAAATTATGTTTTCAAAAGTCGCATGATACATAAATGTAGATACAAAATAGTTTTGCCAAAATTTTTTTTGCTTCCTTTTCAATATCAGAATCTTAAATAATAAAAAGATTTCTTACTTCATGTTTCATATTATTTGATCCTTAACTGGTAAGCTTTGTAAAATCTTCTGAAATAGATTTCTTGTACCAGATTTTTGTTAATGATTTTACCTTATCACAGCAATAATGCCACTAAGACACAAGGGGTTACTGGGAGTGAAAGAAAATAAAAAGACTTTAGAGAAAAGAAAGGACAATAAAAGAACAGGTTTCAGGAAGACAGAAGATGGTGATAATGCCACTAAGACACAAGGGGTTACTGCGAGTGAAAGAGACTGAGAAGACTTTAGTTTGGAGAAAGGACAATAAAAGAACAGGTTTCAGGAAGACAGAAGATGGTGATAATGCCACTAAGACACAAGGGGTTACTGCGAGTGAAAGAGACTGAGAAGACTTTAGTTTGGAGAAAGGACAATAAAAGAACAGGTTTCAGGAAGACAGAAGATGGTGATAATGCCACTAAGACACAAGGGGTTACTGCGAGTGAAAGAGACTGAGAAGACTTTAGAGAAAAGAAAGGACAATAAAAGAACAGGTTTCAGGAAGACAGAAGATGGCTATAATGCCACTAAGACGCAAGGGGTTACTGCGAGTGAAAGAGACTGAGAAGACTTTAGTTTGGAGAAAGGACAATAAAAGAACAGATTTCAGGAAGACAGAAGATGGCTATAATGCCACTAAGACATAAGGGGGTTACTGCGAGTGAAAGAGACTGAGAAGACTTTAGTTTGGAGAAAGGACAATAAAAGAACAGATTTCAGGAAGACAGAAGATGGCTATAATGCCACTAAGACACAAGGGGTTACTGCGAGTGAAAGAGAATGAGAAGACTTTTGTGAGAAGAAAGGACAATAAAAGAACAGGTTTCAGGAGGACAGAAGATGGCGATAATGCCATTAAGTGATGTAACAACAGAGACAGTCAATCTGGTACATTTGAATTAGGAGTCCTAACATGGCTTTTCCAGACACAGGAGTATCTCCATATTATATGTAATACCCTCCCTTTTTGTTTCTCCATACACTTTTCATTGTTGTATAACATATTATTCTCTGTCTGACACACTTGTATATGTGTATATATAGCTTTGTGCATGTTTATTGATATAAAATCCTTTCTGAAAACAAAGCATATTTGTCATTCCTTTTCCTTTCGGCCATTCTGTCCTATCTGTGAGGTATGATGTTGTTATATCACAGATATACAATTGCTCCTAACGGTGGAAATTCAAACGGAAGAATTAACCTTTCTACCATACCTGTCTCCTATTATTGTTACAGGGGCAACGAATACAAGGTGAAAACCAGCTTTCAACAAAATATAAGGTTGGAAGAACATTGAAAAGCTGGAATTCGGGATGAGGGAATGAAATCAAACATGGCTGATCCTATATAGAAAGAAAAGGTTAGTCATCAACCATTGTAAATGAAGATTAGAAAATAGATTGATAGAAGTGATATAACAGAGACAGACAGATAGATAGGTAGATAGATAGATATTAACAGACTGCAATAGATAGATATGAAAAGACAGACAGATAGATAGATATATAGATAGATATGAACAGACTAAGATAGATATGAACAGACTAAGATAGATATGAACAGAGTAAGATAGATAGATAGATAGATATGAACAGATAATGATAGATATGAACAGACTAAGTTAGATATGAACAGTTTAAGATAGATATGAACAGTGTTAGATAGATAGAGAGATAGATAGATAGATAGATAGATATGAACAGACTAAGACATATATGAACAGATAGACAGACAGATAGATAGATAAACAGTCTAAGATAGATATGAACAGAGTAAAATAGATAGATAGATAGATAGATAGATAGATATGAACAGACTAAGTTAGATAGATATGAACAGTGTTAGATAGATAGATAGATCGATAGATATGAACAGACTAAGATACATAGATAGATATGAACAGAGTATGATAGATATGAACAGTGTTAGATAGATAGATATGAACATAGATATAAACAGAGTAAGATAGATAGATAGATATGAACATAGTAAGATAGATAGATGAATAGATAATGAACAGACCATGATAGATAGATAGATAGATGATTATAGGACATGTGATGCTATGCGATGTTAAAGTTTCAGTATTCACCGACAATAATAATAACCAAGGCAATCAGTTCTTGTAAAAAATCTGTTAAAAAAAGAATGACCAACCAGATTAGTTCGTGTTGCTGGTTGAGTTTAATTAATAATAAAAATTGTTGCCAGAAAATAAATAAATAAAAAATTGAAATACAAAAGAAATCATCCAGTGGTTCTAGTCGCAGAACAACTACATGTGGCCACCCCTACCGCCGCTTACATGTAGCCCCACCTCCACAAAATATATACATTCAATTCAGTAATTTCAAGCTAGAAGAGGCCAGAAGGAACGAATGATGAATTAAAAACTTGTCATTTTAAGAATGTCGATATGAAAAAGAACAGGATTATATGAAATATGAAACTGGATTAGTGTAAAAAGGTTTTTAAAAAAGAAGGTACTTTCTTTTCATTGATGACACTTTTCAGTAAATTAAATTTTGGATTCTTTTTTTTTTATCCCAATTCCCCACCACAACTTTCAAAGGATTTTAATATTCTTTTGTTCGACAAAGCTTTGATCATTATGAAACTGATTTAATATCGGATAGTGTCAAAGATCGGGCAAGTGGCTTTAATTATAATCCTGTTGGATTTACATATTGATCTTAATTGCATGCAAACTTTCCTAAGAAAGAAAAACTTAATGATCAGTTTTCTTTATTAGAGGGCTAAAGCTCATTTTAATTAAAAGACATTTTGTTTTGACAACGTCTCAGAATTCAAAAGAAAGCAAGACAATATTAAAAATATCGTTATTAAGGGTTACATGCATGCTGCTCCCTGACAAAATCTGCAGCCCCACTTTTGTGTGCCAGACTATTATACCAGCACATACACACCAACACACACACACACATACACATGCATACACACAAATACACAAACACACACATGCACACATACACAAACACATGTACACTCACACAAATGTAAATGTTGTTAATACTGTTTATTATAAACAAAGCATTTACTTAAATATTTGTATCTATAAAAAGAATGTATAAACATAAAAATGTCTTAAAATAATTGTCGGACTTTGTCCCTTTTATAATGTATGATGTCATTTGTTTACATTTGGATATGCCATGAGCAGATATGAATGTACATGAGAGAATCATGGAAGATTGTAGTTTAAAGACAGTAAAATTGACCTTGCTAGCTGAACAATCCTCTGTGGCCCATTTGGTTAAGGCACATCAGGCTATATGATGGTTCTGTATAGGATACAGGTTTGATTCCTGTCAGAGAACGAATATTTTCTATGAAAAATTCTTGGACATTTAGGCCGGTAAATGTTGTTTAGTACTGTTTATTATAAACAGAGCATTTACTTAAATATTTGTATCTATAAAAAGAATGTATAAACATAAAAAATGTCTTAACATATATGTTTATTGATTCATTTATTTTCTATGATGCAGTTTAATTAATGCCAGAAAATATTTTTCAATTGCAAGTATATTTTTGTGGTGGAAAGATTATGATATTTTAGAGATCCAAGTTTACTAATTAACCCATAGCTGGAGGGAGAAGAGGTGGATGCATATCTTTCCCAAGGGTATTTGTGTGTAAGTGAATATAACAAACCCAACTGAAAATGGAACACTGCTCTCTAATTAACAATTCTGAGCCATTATCCATTACACCACCCACACATCCAAGCTTAAAGCACCTTCTATTTCCATGCAGTCACTCATCTACGTACTGACATAAGCTCAATGTTGCTTAACTTCAGTGATCATACGGAAACCAATTTTTCAACATGATGTGGCAGTAAGCCATTTTTTAATTTTTCAAGTGAATATGGCATTAAAAATTATTTTGCTGATAACAATGATTCTTTTAAAAATTATTTTGCTGATAACAATGATTCTTTTAAAAATCATTTTGCTGATAACAATGATTCTTTTAAAAATTATTTTGCTGATAACAATGATTCTTTTACTTAAAAGTCCTACTATTTAATCCATTGATTTGTGGATATTTTCGTGGGTGTTGTTGATATTTATGTTTTTTTCTATATGACCAAATAATGTCAAGGGTGATAAGGGAAGGAATAGATTTTAATTTTCACAAGGGTATTTGCACATCAGTGAATATAATGAACCCAACTGGAATTGGAACTCAGCTCTCTGATAAACAATGAGCAGAAAAAATGCCAGCTTCATGTTTAACAGGATATTTTCATGATGTCATAATAAAACCCAATTTAAAAAAAAAAAGGAAAAATAGGGATAAAAGCCCCATAGAGGAGTGTGAACTTATCTAAACTTATTGAAGAAAAAAAAATCAGTGGAAAACAAAGAATTCATTTTGGTCTTACTGTTCATGACAAAGAGCAAATTGTCAGTCAACATGTTTTTTGTAAATACTGAAAAGAATTACAAGAATTCATTTACAGGAAAAGACAAGAACTCTTGCATGACAAGTGGATTCAAAATCATAACAAAGTTCCTGTCCATAAGGCATTATGGGTTATCAAATTTCTGTTTAAGCAATCCGTGAAAGATCTCACCATTGATCATTTTCAGCATACTTTGTCCACCATTAATTTTTGGCTCATCCTAAAATTGTAAAATGTTCTGAAAGGACAAATATTTGTTGATAACACTGACATCTAGCTACATAAGACTAGATTACTGAAAGATAGTTTAGAAAACAAGTTCCAAGAATATTTCCAGCAATGGTATTATCATGTCACAAAATGCATAGCTTCACAACGGCAGTACTTTGGGGTGATAGCATCAAACGCTGAACAATCAAATTTATATATATATATATATATATATATATATATATGAAGAAATATACTTTTAAGATGAGCTATATTTATGGGATAAAGTGCTCAATATCAGAGACAGAGCATATGTAAATATAAATATAAAAGTGAACATTGAACTCAACACTTAGAGGCAACAGGCTGTTTCATGCTAGACGCAATCATCAGGCCTATAAGTGTTGACTTCAATGTTCACTATATATATATATATATATATATATATATATAATTTTTCTGATGGATTCAGGGTATGTTCATTCACTTCATTCTTTCTGATTCCAGACCATAATTTCGGTTTTGGAAAGGTTTACCTTTCCTATATCTTGGAACACTTGGCAGAGGTTTTTGATTTTCTGTTCAAAATCATTCTTATCCCAAATATGAATACTTATGTCCTCAGCATTCCCCTCTCATCATCAGTACATTGGCCTCAGGAGGGGAAGCAGGATCATTTTCTCCTATTGATAGATTCATTGGAATGTAGTATGGAATGCTAAAATGGTCAGTGGCCATCTCAACATATCTGTATTTGTAAATGCACCGAGTATTGTTGAGGAAAAGATTAAATGCTGGGAATCCATTTCCTAAAAATAAATTGTCTTTGTTTACGTTAGGATATGATACAGAGCAGATATGGATGTTTCGAAAATTTGGCAGACTTTGTTTGACCATAATCCTACGTGTCTGAGCAGTTAGACATGTCAGATTTCTATGCATATTTAGTTATTGCATTTGTGTACAGTTAATTATATGAAAAAGTATGTTTATTCATTTGTTGGAAATATAATAAATTAAAAATTTGTAGATATGAACCTACTAACAGACTGAGATTGATATTAACATAGATAGATATGAACATATATATATATATGTATATATATATATATATATAAATAGATAATGAACAGGCTGAGATAGACTATTTTAGTCACCATATTTATTACAATGTTTCATCTGTTGGATGCTCCGGCCTTCTTCAGGTGGTTGGAATATCAAACTGAACTGTTTTAGTTCCATGTGCAGTGTCTAATGGATGTCAGTTATCTCTTACTTAATTCCCTCTCCAAGTTCTCCACCACCTTAACGAGGTATTGAACTCACACTCTTTGGGTCCCGTCATTGGATCTAACTAACGCCTTTATCCACTGTACCATGTATCCTTGAGGACATCTGTCTATGAATTTCTGGGTATTATAAAACTAATGTCTTCTGCAAATATTTTTTACCAGTGCTCATATTGCAATTTTTGCTGTTATCATTTTATGTTTTTTACCAGAGCTCACATTGCAATTTGTGTTGTTATTATCATTTTTCTCTGGCACTCCTTTTCACTGGTTCCCATATTCTATTAATTTATATGCTTGGTTGGCTCAGAAGGTTTTTGTGACATAGCATATGTGCTGATTCCTTAAACTCTGGTAAAAAACATGCAACTTGGAGATGGAATTAAGCAGGAGATAACTGATAACTGACATCCATTAAACATGGCACGTGGAACTAGAACAGTCTACCCCAGTGAGCGAAATAAAGGGTTCAGTTCAACATTCCAACCACCTGAAGAAGGCTGGAGCCTACAATGACCGAAATGTAATAAATATGGCAACAAAGATGAGGACAATAGTCCAAATAATGTAAATAGTATACATAATACCTCATCGCAGAAATATAGACAGATAGATCCAGAGGTGGATATGTAATATAATTGGCCCTGATCTGGCATCTTATCTACAGTCACTCTCTCACAGACGCGCCGTCGCCTCTCTCAGTCTTTTCTACAAATACTTTCATGGTAATTCCTCCGAAGAGCTGCTTTCACTGGTCCCCAGACTTCATGAATTCAAGTGCCCTATGAGGCTGGCATCCTGCTCTCACCCTTTCACTGTAGAAACTTTTAAATGTAGCCGTCTCTTCTACTTCAATAGCTTCATACCTCACACCTCTCGCCTGTGGAACACCCTTCCCAATTGCTGTTTCCCTGAGAGCTATCATCTCCAACTATTCAAATCTAATGTCAATTGACATCTTCAGTTGTCTTGATCTATCCACTATCCTTCTCCTCATCCTTTCTTCTATCACTTCTATCTGCTCTCACTCCAAATCTTCTGTAACCCCTGCATTCTAGTGGCTTCCCGCCTTGCTCGGGGTGTAATGCTTAAAAAAAAAAAAAAAAAAATACAGGCTGAGATAGATAGATAGATAGATAGATAGATAGAAACAGATTGAGATAGATAAATAGATAATTTACTGATATAGACAGATATGAATGTACAGAGATATGAACAAACTGAAATAGATATTAATATAGACATATAGAAAGATATGAACATAGATAAAGAGATAGAGATAGATAATAAACAGAGATAGATAGATAAATAGATACAGAGATAGATATAAGCTAACTGATAGATAGATAGATAGATAGATAGATAGATAGATAGATAGATAGATAGATACTGAACAGAGATAGATAGATAGATAGATAGATAGATAGATAGATAGATAGATAGATACTGAACAGAGATAGATAGATAGATAGATAGAGAGATAGATAGATACTGAACAGAGATAGATAGATAGATAGATAGATAGATACTGAACAGTGATAGATATATATATATATAGATAGATAGATAGATAGATAGATAGATAGATAGATAGATAGATAGATAGGTAGGTAGGTAGGTAGGTATGAACAGGCTAATATCAACATAGATGAAATTTATAAAATCTTTCCCTTAAAACCATTTTTCAAGAACATTGGTTTCTCAATACCATTAACTTTTATTGCACTTTCAGCTACTGATGGAGGTTTCCTTCCTAACCTTTTGTTTGATGTTGTGCGAAACATCGAGATCATGATTATTACATTGTTTTCTTTTCAAGTTATATGTAATGCCTATTTTATTTGTTGTTACTGTTGAAATTCCTCGAGTGTTGTTGTTTCTATTATTTGGTACAGTTCTTTCTTTGTGATTCTGTAGCACTTGTCCACAAGTCTTGAAGAAGTGTGATCTTTACCAAGACTTATAGGTTTCACTTGCTCAAAGTCACATTTAATCATTAATTGTAGAAAGCAGTTGTATGCAACTGCTAGTTGATATATTACTGAACATATTTGCTGCTCTCCATGACATCCTTATGAAAGTCATATTCTTACAAGGTCATTTCTGAACATGATTTATGTCTTTATATCAACATTTTGGATTTGTAGTATCTTGCGATGGTGTTCAAAACTATGCAAAGAACAGCATATTCTATGTTCAGTTTACTCTACAGTTCAAAAGTTTGAAGCCACCTCCAGAATTAGCAGGAGATGAACTTGACAGAAGAATGAAAAAAAAAAAATGAAAAAGTGCTCTTAGAGTCATTGAAAAAAAGAAAGGAAACACTTATGCTTTGAGAAACTTTTGCAACAAATGCCAAAAATTTGAGTTGCAGTAAGCAAGGCTAAAGGAGGATATTTTGACAAGAGCAAAATTTAGAGTCTGTCTATATTTCTGAGATGAGGTATAATGTACAGTATTTACATTAGGCGGACTATTGTCCTCATCTTTGTCGCCATATTTGTCACAACGTTTCGGCCGTTGTACGCTCCGGCCTTCTTCAGGTGGTTGGAATGTCGAACTGAATCCTTTATTTTGCTCACTGGGGTAGACTGTTCTAGTTCCACGTGCCATATTTGATGGATGTCAGTTATCAGTTATCTCCTGCTAATTTTCCCTCTGAAAGTTCTCCACTGCCTTAACCGGGTATTGAACTCACATTCTTTGGGTCTGTCACTTTATCTAACCAACACCTTTATCCACTGTGCCATGCCATAAAGGGTTCAGTTTGAAATTCCAACCACCGGCTGAAACGTTGTGACAAATATGGCGACAAAGATGAGGACAATAGTCCAACTAATGTAAATACTGAGCAAAATTTAATCATAAATTTTTTTTTTTCTTTTTGTCATAATAAAAAAATCATGTCTTACTTTTTTTTATCCATGTATAAAAATTTTCTCTTATTTAAAGTACAAAGCAACTACTTTTTGGGTCAATTTAAAAAAATTCCTAGGGATTGCATCAAACTTTTGAACTGTAGTGTATCTCTGATACTAAAATCATTATTACTAATCCATAGATCAATTTATTTGCAATGTTTAATATTTATTAATTCCATCTCCTCAATTTTTATGTAGTAGGTACTATCATTGCTTTTGTTCTAATTCTAGATCATAGTTTCTGTTTTGGGGTGTAAACACCTCTCTTGAGTGGTTTATAACATACTAGCAGTAGAGCCCGGCATTGGCCGGGGATGTAACAGTAAGAGATAGATCAAGTATCAAAAGTATCAAGTATATAAAGACGGAAAAATAAAATTGACAAAGATTATTGTTTAAGGTTGACGGACATGCATGTCATAATTAGTTTTTTTGTGTGTAGTTTTTTTTTATGTAGTTTTTTTTTTTTTTTTTTACAAATTGGTCAAATCCAAATTCAAATAAAAACATTGTTTTCAATCGTTATTATGAGTCTACCAATTGAATAGAATTTTATTATAAACAATTGTCTTGTAAATGGAATTTTTAAAGCATTCTGAGTGTAAAAATAAAGAAAAAAGTGTGCAAGACAATAAGAAACACTACCTGCCAAAAAAAAGTGAAGTTTTATTGAAATCGGTTGAAAAATGTAGGAAATCCGATCCCATATATAAACACACACACACACACACACACACACAGAGAAACAACCTGGGTTTTATAATAAGTATAACTCGATATGAGTTGTCCCCCTTTCATTCTCGCATCAGCGATGACTCTTAATCATGTTTTCAAATTGATTTCATGCAAAAACAATTGTGTTTTTCCAATTTTTGGCACTGTCAGAAGGTAATTTTACGTAGTCCTGTGAAGTTTTGTTGAAATCGGTTGAAAAATGTAGGAAATCCGATCCAATATATAAACGTACACACACACACACACACACACACAACCTGGGTTTTATAATAAGTATGATCTATTTATCATCTCCCAGTTGCGTCTCTGTCTTTGGGCAGAGTGCACTTGGTGGCAATAATGGATAAAACACACAACTTTATTTATATTCGATACACTATGACCACATTGTCTCGGCAGTTGAGTTTTCATTTGAATGATATGTCCAACATTTCTAAACATTTACAACATTTACCTGTCCACATCCGCAATTCAGAAAAATTCTTGTTGAAAATATTTCTATGCTTTTTCTTGAAAATAATAAATATAAACGAAAAATTCTTGAAGTGATCTATATTAAAAATTGAAACCAAACCTTAATAAAATTAACTACGAACACTTCACAAATGTTTGAAAATGTGTACAATAGATAGTTTAAAATATCAAGGTCTCCTCATTACACCAGAGAGAGAGATTGGTGCTCCTACTGACTGTGGGCCATTTTTGTTCCTTGCCCAGGTGTACACACTCGGGTATCCACCTTAAAAAAGACCTTGTGTCACAACTCGTCTTAGTGGGGAGACAGAGTAAATACCTAGTTTCTATTTTGGAAAGGTTTATCCTGAATCTTGTTTCTTGGAATAGATAGATAGATAGATAGATAGATAGATAGATAGATAGATATGAATAGACTGATATATAGATAAATATGTGTTTTCAATATACATTGCCAAATATTCCAATTCTATGAATAATTCTTGCAAAAGACAACTCAACTCTTTCTCTTCACTTATCCAACCAAAAGAATTTATAGACTTTTCTTTTATTGCCAAGAATCCAAATAATTTGCACTGTCACCTACACACAACCATTCAATGAAAGGATAATGAAAAAACAAACAAAAACACAACTACACCCTCACTCCACCCGAAATCTTTCACCCCCTCCTCTAACACTCTTTACCAACTTGCGATATTTTTCCAATTCTATAGACTCGAAGGCACACAATGTCCGGTCTATTGAGTATGAAAATTTGTAAGTTACCATCTCCGCCAATTCCATCTAAATAGACCTGCAACAATTTCCACTAGGCCTTACTTAACTCCCTCTCTCTCTTTCCTTCCTTCTCCCTTTCTCCCTCTTCTTTTTCTCCTCTCTCCCTCCCTCTATTTTCTCTCCATCTTCTCTCCCTCAGATATATACATTTCCAAGCAAGTCATCTCCACTCAGTCCAGAAATGTCATACTCCTCCTACTCTCCTTTAATTATTTACTCTCCCTTTCCCCTCTTCTTCTTTTCCTCTCTCCCTCCCACTATTTTATCTTCATTCTAACCATCTCCTTTAGATATATACTATTTCTAAGCAAGTCATCTCCATTCAGTTCAAAAATATCCAACTCCTCCTCTCATTTATTTATTTACTCTCCCTTTCCCAGCTTCTTCTTTTTCTTTCTCCCTCCCCCTATTTTATCTTCATTCTCTCCCTCTCCTCTTCCTCAGATATATACTTTTCCCAAGCAAATCATCTCCAGAAATGCCTTACTTCTCCCTTTTACTTATTTCCTCCCCCTTCACCTGTCTTCTTTTTTTCTCATCCTCCTCTTTTCTCTCCCCTTCCTCCTCTTACCCCATCATTATCTCTTCTTCCTCATTTTTTTTTTACAAGCATCTCCACTCAGTCTCTGTCTTCTTCCATTTTCACATCTTTTTCTCATCCTCCTCTTTTCTCTCTCTTTCTTTCTTACATCCATTCTTGTTTTCCTCTCTTTCTCACATATAAGCTTTTTTTTTTCTTTTTTTTTAAAGAAAGCCCTCTCTGTCACAGATATGCACTTTTTCTTTTTTTTCAGACCATTCCCCCCTCCACTGCACACAGTCCGGAAATCTGACCACATTGCTACGTGACATATACAAGAGATTTCAGCTCGGGAATGTGCCATAACATCTAACCCCTAATGGATTATTGTATTGATCCTTTTTGAGAGACTGCTCAGTGGTTGTTGCAGGGGCCAGGGCATGCTTAAGGGCACTGCAAGGCTTGGGCTGGGTGTGTCCTTAAGTAGAAGTGTGCCTATATTTATTTGGCCAAAGTAAAATCCCATCTTTATATTTAGTCGGTCAAATGCTATCTCATGATTTTGCACTCAGCTTCAGAAAAACAATATTTGCCTCCCAGGGTTAAATGTTTTCGGCAATATTTTTAATGGCTTATATTTTTCTCTTTTTTTTTTTTCCTTAAAAAATCTTTTTTTCATTTTTCTTGCACAAATCTTAAAATATAAAAATTTATGTATGATTGAATAAAAAAATGGAAAAAAAGTTTTTGTGTGACGCATTTCATCCAAAGAAGTTGTAAAGGATGAAACACATAACACAAAAACTTTTTATTACAATGTTTTGGCCTTGTATGCTCCAGCCTTCTTCAAGTGGGTGGAATGTCAAACTGAACCCTTTATTTCGCTCACTGGGGTAAACTGTTCTAGTTCCACATGCCATGTTTAATGGATGTCAGTTGTCAGTTATCTCCTGTTAATCCCCCTCTGAAAGTTCTCCACTGCCTTAAATGGGTATTGAACTCACACTCTTTGGGTCCTGTCACTACTACTACTGATGCGGCATTCACCCTGGGCGGATTGAGCCGGCTTCTTCCTGTTATGAGAAGAAGATTCTTAGGATAAATTACAGAAGTAGGGTACCCAGGCCTGTCACTGGATCTAACTAACACCTTTATTCACTATGCCATGGGGAACTAGAACAGTCTACACCAGTGAGCAAAATAAAGGGTTCAGTTCAACATTCCAACCACCTGAAGAAGGCTGGAGCATACAACGGCTGAAATGTTGTAATAAATATGGCGACAAAGATGAGGACAATAGTTCAAATAATGTAAATAGTGTACATAATACATCTCAGAAATATAGACAGATACTGAAGGGCTGAAACATTGTTATTAAGATTTCTCAGGTGCACATTCTGATAGACAAAATAAACTGTATGTATATATATATATATATATATATATATATATATATATATATATATATATATATATATATACATTATTTACATTTGGTGTCAGTTAGATCCAGTGACAGGACCCAAAGAGTGTGAGTTCAATACCCGGTTAAGGCAGTGGAGAACTTGGAGAGGGGAATTAACAGGAGATAACTTACAACTGACATCCATTAAACATGGCATGTGGAACTAGAACAGTCTACCCCAGTGAGTGAAATATATTGTTTAGTTCCACATTCCAACCATCAGAAGAAGGCCAGAGTATACAACAGCCAAAACGTTGTAATAAATATGGCGACAAAGATTAGAACAATAGTCCAAATAATGTAAATAATGTACATAATATCACATCTCAGAAATAAAGACAGATACTGAAAACTTTTTTTACATTTTTTTATACATTTTTTTCTCAAATATTGTTTTTGTTATATAAAAAATTATATATCGTTATCTCATATATATAAATATATGTAATGGGGTTGGTATTAAATTGGCTATTACATGGTGAATACTAATGACAGAAATTAAAATGCATAAAACATACAATGATAACAGAAGAATAATGGATACCAGCTCGGATTGAGGAATCGGAGAGCCAATTTTGAATTCCAGTCAAATCCATTACATTGACTTACATGCTAATATCCTTGGGAAAGGTATGAATCCTCTTCTTCTCCCCCAAGCTATGGGTAAATAGCAGGACAGACTGGGTTCTATAGCTTTGGAGGGAAACTGGTCTACTGCAGAAAGAAATGGCAACCTGCTGCGGGGAAAAATTCTGCCTTATCAGTCATGTATTGAAAGATACATGATCGCCTAAGCATGTATCATGCATGGACATAACTGACAGACTGTGTGTAAAAATGTTCTCAGTGCCTCTTTTGTTTAAAAGTCAGTGCTTACTTGATTTGGTTCCAAGAATTTCGTTTGTCATGATGGTGTTTGAAAGTGTCTGTTTGTGATCTTTATGGAGCACTGGCTATACATGTGTTTCTGTGCTGCTACTTGTCTACTCATCACTGACTACTGCTACAGGTACCCTACTCTACTGTTCTATATTCTATTCACTCTCTTGTGGTGGAAGGGTTGTTTTTATAATGATGAGTATTAGAATCATGAAATATCCATCTTTTCTCTCATCACTGATGACAAGCTCATTTTTCGAATGATATCATCTTGAAATGCAGAAGTTCTGTTCTGAGTTACAACAATATAAATGGACAAAAAAGACTTCCAGTTATAACTTTGAGATCTCAATGCATTTGTTGGATTCTTCTGACTTGGTGGGATTATTTCTTTAATACAGTTTAAATGTCTATGATTGTTTAGATTCTAATAGTATTGGATTATATAGAGATGATGGCCTATTAGTAGTTAAAGACTACAAAAATTAAGGTAGATCATATTAGGAAAATGATCCATAGGGAAGTAAAAGATTTAGGTCTTAAGACTAAAGTTACGACAAACGTTTAACAGGAAGACTTTCTGGATGTTACCCTAGACCTTAATAATATTTCTTTTCAACCTTATATGAAGATTAATTCTAACCCAGTATATGTACATCCTAATTCTAACCACCCACTTCTGTTATTAAGCACATGCTCGCCTCCATAGAATTTAGAATCAGTGCTAACACTTCTAGCAAAGAGATTTTTAATAATGTTATGGTAATTTACCCACACACACATGAACTCTCCCAACTATAAACAGGAGCAGGTACTGCCTTTTGGAGAGGGAAGTTTATAATTCTGCCCTTAGAAGTAGCAGTTATAAAGGTACTACTAGTGAATATAGGGATCCGATTAATTATGACCACTATAAGAAAAGAAGATCTAGGAAGATCATCTGGTTTACATACAACGTAATGGTTAAAACTAAATTAGGGCATAAATTTCTAGATCTTATCAAAAAACATTTCCCCAAAACCAATCCTTCTCAGTAAAATATTCAATTATAATACTCTTAAATTAAGCTATTATTGTGCTGATAACTTGGAAAAAATAATTAAAAAGCATAATAACTTAGTCTTCAACAAGTATAAAAACTCAAAAACTTGACTAATTGCAATATTGCAGTAAGACTAAATGTAATAGCACTAATAATAATGTGTAATTTAGTAATTTATTTGTTGCTATCATTACATATGTATATATGATTTGTATATATCTTTACTTATTTATATAAGAGTGCTCTATTTTAAATACCTTTAAAAGCGTTTTTTAATACACCTAAAAATAACATTTTTGATTATTGATTAGGCTGAAAAAAATGTAGGAAAGAACTGTCAAGCTTCTGAGTGTCCAAAAATTTACTTGTAACATAGCAAAAATTGCATCACTTACTATCCTAAATAATTTCCTTTCCTTTCCATATTGAAAATTTTCCAAATAGATCAGGGAAATATCCTCTTGGGAGTTGGTTCAACAGAGCAGTTGTTCATGGGAAGAAGCTGTTTGATTGGAAATTACTTCTCATTGATGGAATACATAGAAAATGTGAGTACACTATTTACATTATTAAGACCATTGTCTTCATCTTCGTTGACATAATTATCACAATCTTTCGGCCGTTGTATGCTCCGGCCTTCTTCTGGTGGTTGGAATATCAGACTGAATTCTTTATTTCACTTGCTGGGGTAGACTGGATAACAGATTACTGGCATCCATTAAACATGGCATGTGGAACTAAAACAGTCTACATCAGTGAGCAAAATAAAGGGTTCAGTTCAATATTCTAACCACCTGAAGAAGGCCAAATTGTACAACAGCCAAAACTTTGTGATAAATATGGTAACAAAGATGATGACAATAGTCTGAATAATGTAAATAATATACATAATACCTCATCTCAGAAATATAGACAGATACTGAAAGGCTAAAACATTGTAATAAATATGGCAGCAAAGATGAGGACAATAGTCCGAATAATGTAAATAGTGTACATAATACCTCATATCAGAAATATACAGAAATACTGAAAGGCCAAAACGTTGTAATAAATATGGCAACAAAGATGAGGACAATAGTCCAAAT